AAATTATAAGAGTAATTTTAGTTTTTCTTTCATTATTTTGTAGGTTAATAGTTACCCTTTAGATATTTATTAGTTTCTACCCTTGTAAAATTGTTTAACTCCCCAAAAATGACTTTCAAACTCAAAATTTCTATTTTTTAATCAAAACAAACAAAAATAAAGTTTTTCCTTTGACGCAACTAAAGTTGTTGATTTTTTTGTCTTCTTTGATACACACAAGTTAAGTTCACTGCTACCTGCGACCATAAACGTTACAAACGCTAGAAGCGTCGAGTACACGAGTGGAAAACGCGTAAAAAGAGAAGAAGAGAAGCGAAGTACGGGCGTTGTCCGCATTTGAGTTTGCAGTGTCATCGACACACATATGACACTAGCACTAAACTCTGTACAAAATTCGCTCGATATTACCCAACTACCACAAACTAACGAAATATATTCATCAATAGACAACGTCCGCGTTTAAATTTCACATATTTTTCTCATTCGTTTAAATTCCCTGAATCCGGAGATAAATGTACACAAAAGAAACAGCGTCGCATGCAGCGGAAACACATTAAAACACATTACATAATCCACATGTTACGGTTACGCCACATTTTATAATATTATTTTTTGTTCTCGGTGCGCAACAAATTCCGTTTGTGATGTATCGACATGCGTGACGCGTCCAGCCGCCCCCGACTAATTTATATACAAACAGCACGCACATACATTTATTATTTAGTGACACGCTGCGCAGGAAATTGTACTCAGAGTGTAATTCGACGTTAAAAGGTGATTAATATAATTCCGAGTCGTTGTTTGTTGTTTGTTGTTTGTCGAGTGGCATTAAGACGTTTTGGTTTTAATGCTCGCTCAGTCTTGTCGTGCTGATTGTTTTGTTTTGTCGGATATAATTTATTCAAATTTATGGCGCGTTGTGTATTCGTGACACGTTCAAACGTTTATGTTGGTAGTTTTTGCTTTGCAAAGTTTGGGTTTGGGGGGCGCGCAAGAAATCATAGCGTGGGACCCAAGGGTGCAATTTAATCGCTTACGCTCGCGTCACTGGGGGGGTAAAGACGAGTTGCCAACTTGTGTCAACTCTATAAATAAAGGTCGGAGTAGAAATCGTTGTGACTTGAATTTTTTTTTCTTTTAAAGGGAAATAAAAATGTTCCGAGGGTTGTTTTAGGGTTTTTCTTTGATAAAAGTTGTTGTAAATGAGTTATACTTCTTGTTTATTTTATTTATATCTAGAAAAATACTTAGAACTACTTTTGAAGTTGTTTTAAAGTTGATTTTTGGTATTTTCTTTTGGAATTATATCAACAAATTGACATATCTTGGAAGTTATTAAAGTAATTTTATTTTATCTTTCGCTATTTTATAGTTTATTAGTTACTTTTTCAATATTTATTACTTTCTATACTAAAAAGTTGTAGAACTACCCTAAAATACCTTTAAAAGTCAAAATTTAGCTCTTTTAGATGAAATTTTATGAAAAATTGACATATCTCAGAAGTTTTAAAACAAATTTCATTTTTTCTTTCATCATTTTATAGTTTATTAGTTACTTTTTTGATATTTATTACGTTTCACCCTTGAAAACTCCTAAAACCACCTTAAAATGCCCTTCAAAGTCAAATTTTAGCTCTTTTTCAACGAAATTTTATGAAAAATTGACATATCTCCGAAGTTTTACAACAAATTTCATTTTTTCTTTCATTATTTTATAGTTTATTAGTTACTTTTTTGATATTTATTACGTTTCACCCCTGAAAACATCTAAAACCACCATAAATTGCCCTTTAAAGTCAAATTTTAGCTTTTTTCAACGAAATTTTATGAAAAATTGACATATCTCCGAAATTTTAAAACAAATTGCTTTTTTTCTTTCATCATTTTATAGTTTATTAGTTACTTTTTTGATATTTATTACGTTTCACCCTTAAAACTCCTGTAACCACCTTAAAATGCCCTTCAAAGTCAAATTTTCAACGAAATTTTATGAAAAATTAACATATCTCCGAAGTTTTAAAACAAATTTCATTTTTTCTTTCTTTATTTTATAGTTTATTAGTTACACTTTCGATATTTATTACGTTTCACCCTTGAAAACTCCTCCAACCACCCTAAAATGCCCTTCAAAGTCAAATTTTCTTCCCCAATTGTCGAATAAAGTGGGTTTTTATTTCTGCTTGTTTTTTTCCTGTTTGCCATCTGTTTGTCATCCATATGCGTATATGTTCATGATAAATCGACATTGTTTGACATCCTGACGTGAATGTACGCACGTCCGCGCACATCACGAGGGCGAGAGAAAAAAGCACCAACAACCGCGCGTTCAAATTTCTAAACCTTCGAATGCCTGCGCTATAGCTATAATTTAGGCGAAACCGCACGATGAATAACACATTCCGGTTTCCTCGTCTCGCGTTTCGTACAAAATGTGCCACTCGACACCGTCGTGAGTCGTGAATGGTTGCAATCCGTCTATGGCGGGGTTGGCAATGGTGGAGGCGCCGCGGTTAGCGTCGATTCGATTTACTGTCTGCAAGGTGACAACAAGTAAAACATTTTGCTTGTATTCTAAAATTTTCTGCATTCTGCCTGCAAGATAACAGCATTGAGTTAATTGAATTAATTTTGCAGCACTCGACATTTTGTAATTTAGTTTTTACGTATCATGTGGTGCATGCCAGCGTCTGAAATTAGGTTTTAATAAGATTCGAAGTCGATTGCGAGATTGTAGTCGTGGACGCTGCTGGCATCTTCTTATAATGAACTTTTGCGGAACAAAAAGGATTCGAGCGCGGCCGGGGCACGTCGCGCGTCGCACAACTTCCTTTCTTCCGGCCGGCGCCACCAGCGCGGAATATAAATTAACAAAGCGTAGGCGAGCGCAAAAGCAAAACGCATCTCTGTGCTACGAAAAATTCGCTTGAGGGGGACCCCGCGCGGAATTAACTTAAAGTTTTTTTCGGTGCCCCTCAAGGCAAAGGAAATTAATTAACGCCTAGATAAATACGAACACAATTTACGATTTTTTGAAAATTTACGCGTAAAATAAAAACTTGTTTCCGCTTTGTTTTGTTCTGCGTGTCGAGTAAAAAAGGAGAAAAATCTCCGCCGTTAGTAATAATGAAGACAAATAATTTTCCTCCTCTTAGAGAGAGGAGGAAATAAAGAAAAGTACATTAAGCGTCCACGGCGTAATCACCACTCTTCGACTGTTTGGGATTTTCCATCTCTTGGCCGATTTAGGTGAGGAAATGATTAATTTTTAAGCGCACGCGCTGCTGCCGCTGCCGCAGCGTGAACATTTATTGCTAAATGGCTAAATACCTCCAAATCGAGCGCAGCAAACGGCCCGGATATTGGAAAAGTTCCGAGTTAAACGAGAAAACTACAAGTGAAACATTCATTCCACAAGAAACCCTCCGAGTGAAACTTTTACATTGTAAATAAGTACTGTACGATTGTGTTTTACTCGAAATACAACCTGAAATACAAAAAATTTGAGAATGAAAAGTTTATTTTGTCACTGTAGTAAAAAGCAATAAACTCGTTTTGCTTTGGTTCATGGTTCATTGTAGAGAAAACAAAGCGTAAACTTTTCTAATCTCTACGTGCGTGAGGATATGTAGGGGTGGTTTTTCTCTCTCCTAGTCGTTCGTACGTCACCTGGATTAGATTTTAGCGTGCGACAACAAAAGCGGAAAGTTTTTATGCGCCTGATTTATGAAGCAGCAAATCTCACCGAGCGCGCTGATAGGCATCGCTTGTGCGCGGGATTTGTAAACAACCCTTAGTCTAGGGTAGTTTCTCGCGTCTAGTAGGTGCAATTTTATGGTTCGTCAGTGTCAAACAGGAGGAAACTAAGCGCTACGACTAGGTAAAGTGTGTTTAAAATGTTTTTTATTCCCAGAAATTTAAATTTTTAGTTTTTTTGTTTTTGAAATTTTTCATGCGCGTATTTCCGGTTTTCCTGTTGTATTTTCTGTGCGCATGTTTAGTAATTTTTGTCGTTGGTGAAATATCACCGCTGTCGGTGGCCGTGATTGATATCAAACCGATATGAGAACGTCGGAAAATATAGCCGCATTTTTATTTTTCGTTTTTTTTTCCTCTTTTTTTGTAATTTGGATCTAAAATAGGAAAAAATTTGTGCGCGGTCGTGACAATCGGTTGGGAGTTCGTTATGCTGCGCACGTAATATATTGTGGTCCCAAGTCTCAAGGAAATTCCACTGCCATGTTAAGTTTACTCCTGACTCCCGCCCGCTGACAGTGGGTGTTCATATTTTACAACCCTGCGTTTTCTTTTGAATATTTTACCGGTTTTATTTAATTCTGCAAATTTGTACGTGAGTATTGTAAACAATACCAGCCCGGAAGTTGAATGTCGGAAGTGGGAAGTTGGAAAGGAGGAAAGGAGGACGGCAAGTGTGTCCCCGGGCCGTTATCCCGTGTATCAGTAAATGCAATTATACCCGCCAGCCCGCCAGAGGTGCGTATTATCCACCCCTCAACACCCCCGGAATTCAGGGAGGTTGGTTGCGTTAATGATCGCAGTTTAAGCACTCCCCTTGGAGTTTCCTGCACGGCACCACACCGCAATATTGCTGCTGTGTGCGCTCGATTGGATTAACATCTCTCTGCCTACCCATGGATTTCATCGCACAAACATTTTTTATTTTCGCCAAAAATTAAAACTTTTATACTATTTTATTACATGCAGGGGTTGTGTGGGTTGTGTGGGCTTTAACGGCGAACAATGCTGTCTAGCATCGAATGAGAGCCATTCAATAAAAGCCTCTTGTGGTGGTGGTGATGGCGGTGAAACCTGCTTAGTGGACTTTTGTGGTTTTGCACCCCCGTTGGGGTCCCGGTCCCAGGGATTACGCACAATCCGGACGCCACTTGAAAATTTATCGCCTGCGCTCTCTTTGCTTTTTGCGCCTGAAAGTGAATCGAGTGAATTCTTTTTTTAATGTGTTTCCGCTGTTTGTTTTACAGCCATGTGACGAAAACCGCATCGTGGTTGCCGCCGGCGGAAGCGTGGCGCGCCGGCGAGGACACACTACCCTACGGATGGGAACGCGCCCTCGACGATTCCGGACGATCCTATTACATAAAGTAAGTCGATTGTTGCAATAGTAATCAAGTTAGGTTAGGTTATATTGATATAGGTTAGACAACCCAACACGCAATGTTTGCATGCTGATGACATTTGCCGGCATTGTGTACACACGACTGCCAATTTCAATGTTTGCTCACTCGAGCGCAAATTGCATCGTATTCATACATCATAGCCGCACACCGCACATATTGATTTCCACAGATTACCATCAACTCCTGAATCATATTATATGTTTGTCGCATGACATCTGTTTAAATTTCCAGCCATGTGAACAAAACCACCACGTATGAGATGCCGGTGACGAGGGCTCTCCACCCGTCGGAAGCGCCTGAACCTCGCAGTGTCACCTTGGATCGATCGGCGGCGTTGGGTTTCGGTTTTGTTGCCGGCTCAGAGAAACCCGTCATTGTGCGGTTCGTCACTGAAGGTGGACCTAGTGTAGATAAGGTACATTTTGAATCCATAAGTGATTTTTTTATTTTTATCAAATGATTTTTGTGGTAGTTATTGCCCGGTGACCAGATTATTGAGGTGAATGGTGAGGATGTTAAGATTGCGCCAAGGGAGCATGTTATTTCGTTGATCCGGGCGTGTAGTTCAACTGTAAGTTTAGTCGTCTGTCAGCCACAGGAACAGGCCGGCGCTCGCAAGTCCACGCTGTTATCAGCGAGCAAACGAGCGCGTCTCCGGACGAAACCAAGTCGTGTTCGATTCGCTGAGAGCGTCTGCGTTAATGGCGCTCCCTATTTCCGGTACGGAGATAACCTAACCTACTTTAAGAACTATTGTAATTTTTTTAATGTTTTTCTACAGCCATCAGCGTTTTCTTTGGGGGATTTATGCGTGGCACCAATGGCGAATGTTTTGAAAGTGTTTCTGGAGAATGGTCAAACAAAATCGTTCAAATATGACGCGTGGACAACTGTTCAAGATGTCGTTGCGTCCTTGCAGGCGAAACTATGTCTCAGCGCAACTGAGCACTTCAGTTTGGTTGTTGAGCACATCAAATCGCTCAAACGAAATAAACTGACTCTACTTGATCCGGCTGATACTCTTGCACGAGTAAGTTTTTACATTTTGTGGGTTTTATGCGAAATAAAAATAAAATAATGTTTTTTTATAGATAGCTTCACGTCCCGGCGCGCATAAACTTCGCTGTCTTTATCGGATAGCGTACGTTCCGACATCAGCAGCAGCGTTGGCACAATTAGACCTTGTCGCACTGGACTATCTCTTCACACAGTGTTGTAATGATGTAATTCAGGAGCGATTTGCACCCGAGTTGCAATACGACACGGCTCTACGACTTGCCGCACTGCATGTCTATCAACATGCGCTTGCGAATAACATGCAAGCGTCAAAACTCACCGTTAAAACTGTCGAGTAAGTTGGGTTTTTTTCAACTAGAGATATCATGATTAATTTATTGTTTGCGTGTTCAGGCGTGAGTTTGGTCTGGAACGCTTCGTGCCCGCTTCACTACTCGAGAAAATGAAACGTAAAGAAGTGCGGAAATTAGTGGCGCATTTCCTTAAACTGCACTCGACTATGGCGGGTCCCGGCAAACAATTAACTGCCTTACAGGCAAAACTTCATTATTTGGACATTGTGAGTCAGTTACCGAGCTACGGAGCCAAGTGCTTCTCAGCGGGGCCCAAAGCGGACGTCATGGAGCGAGTGATACTCGTTAGTCCCAAGTTTGGCATTAGTCAAATTACAGGATCACGCAATTCAGTGGTATGCTGAACAAAATATCAACAACAAGGGATTTAAATTGCATTAACTGTTTTTATTTCCATTTAGCCACAACCAATCGCAAACATTGAAGATATACGCAGTGTGGAAGTGCGTGCCGAAGATGAACTCATGCACAATGTGTGTATTCATCTCAAAAACGACCAAATTGTTTCCGTCACCTTGGAGGAACGCGATGCTAATGAATTAGTACTTGTTCTCAAAGGTTACTATCGCTTATCGACCGAGAATAATCTCATAGTGGAGAAAGAAGAGTCTGAAGTTTTGGAAGACTTAGCACCGCCATATTTAAGCCAGCACAAGGTCGTCCCTGATAGGTGGAGTTATCTGAATCAGCAACAGGTAAAAAGTGTCATGTTTACAATCCCGCCGACATATCAACATCTCAATCGAAAGACCAATGGGTTGTACAACACGATGGGAAGGCAATCTAAGCCTCTGCTGACAGGTTTTAGTCTTGATAGTAACATGAACAGTTCGATTGTGAAGAATAACGAGATCAAGCGTGACGTGACGATTTACGAAGCGAAAAATGATTTTCTACGCGAACAGTTGAAGTCCAGCGCTGAGTGGCAGGAGACTTCTGTTGATATTGAAAGCGATACAGATAGTCTCCCAACTGAAGAGCATACGCTCCGCCATAGTGATTCTCTTTTACTGTTGGCTAAAGGTGCTAAGGAGGATTCTGAACATTTGCAGTTTACAAACGCCGCGATTGAAATGTTAAGATCAGAGGTGAATTACTCTGAGAGTGATAACGATTCAGTTTACACTCCGCATAATTCTCCCAAGCATTTAAATAATGGCGGTGATAGTGAAATTGCAAATGGCGGTAAGTCACGCATTAGTTTTGGTCTCCACAGTCCTGATAGTTCCACGAATTGTGGAAGTCAAGGACAGGAGAGTCAAGAATTGCGTGCGTATTTAGAAAAATTGAAACAAAATGAATCCTCGCGGGTGAATGATGATGTTAATTTGTACTTTGACCCGGATATTATTGACCTGACAATGCTGCCTCCCCCTGGAACTCCTGATGAATTAGACGGAGCGTTACCTCCCGCTATAGATGTCCCACCGCATTCTTTTGCGGATTCAATGGAGAAATTGAACAAATTGGGTGTGTTGCATGAGAATTTAGACTTGGAGGAGTTTCTTGCTAGTGTGACAATACTTCCGCCCACATTGAAAGTCACGCCTGCTGTTGAGTTAACCCCCGAAGAGATAATGTCGTATATTATCCCTCCGCCGCCGGATATCCGTGAAAGTCCGGAAGTTCCGCCCAAACCGCGCCGGGCCAGCGCTGGCACCGGCACATTTTCTTGTTGTGGTGGTGGTGGTGATAAGAATAGTGATGATGGAGTTGTTGCATTACCACCACGACGGGGATCCGTTGAGGAAAAACCTCCCGATCGTCCACCGAAAACTGTCGCGGAACGACAGAGGTCCCAGTCGATGTTGTCAACATTTAAAGACTTTAAGGTTTCTAAGGAGGTCCCACCTAAGTTACCGCCGCGTGCAGATGACAGCAGTCAACTTGGGCAAGCGCATTTGTTTCTCCCACCTAAGAAACCTCCATTGCCGCCATTACCGCCATTAGAAGTACTCAGAAGTCGAAAGAATACGTTGTCACAGACTAAGACCACTCCGGAAGTACGAACGGCCGGCATTGGCTCGCCACACCTTCAACGCAATAAGAATATGTACAATGATCTTGACTTGGATGCTGAGAGTAATGTCAAAGTGGGTTGCACGGCTGTTAGTACACCTACATCACCGTTTTTAGGTACGTAGGCTTTTGTTTTCTCTTATATTCTGTACCTAGATTATTATTTCGTTGTTGGTTGGTTGTTAGTTGTTTTGGTGTTGACGGCATACGTTTTTGTAGGCCGCGGTGCACTGTTCACCGCGATACCCATAGATTCCCCCGATGGTCCCCGTATTACAACCACCACAACCGAGTACGTGAACAACGTTAACCAGTACGGTAGAAAGGACCTCAATAACGGCCACCATCTGCATTACCAGCATCACCATCATCACCAACAGCAGGTGGTAGCTGCAGTTGCATCCAATGTTAGAGACGTTAGTTGTAGCCGTATCAGCACGACCAACTCCTGCATGTCCAGTCGTGAGAACCTTCTCCAAAAACCGACGCAGCGATGGCGAGCCTCTAACTAGATTAGATCAAGTGGCTGCGCAGTGTCATAGTGCTCAAGCGCAAGGAGGTGGCCGTCATATGTCCGAGGAGAAGTTTCAAGTAAGTTTTATTAGTTTCTGGTTGGTGATTGTTTTTTGATGAATGTTTTGTATTCTTTTTAAAGTAGTATGGGTTTTATCTGTTTTACTTGTTTTCAGACGGCGAAAGATGAACTGACCACACAGTCACTCCAACTGGTCCATTCCAGTAAGATGCTGGTGATTGCCATGTCCGATACCACCCTGCCGGACCTCCCAGAGCATTTGGCAGTGTGTTTGACTATTCTTCGGCGTCTCACAGAGCTGTGCGCTGATTTAGCTGATCATACCACTGCTCCGCTCCAAACACGCAATCTTGTACTCAAAGTACATGATGTTACTGGAGCGTTCCGCCATCTTGTCGGTACCAATATTGATCGTACATCACCAGCTACCATTGAGGAGCATCTCGCAGGCGAAGCGGAGTCTCTGGCCGGCGTACTCACGACTCTTCTACGGAGTTTACGCGTTTTTTCGCCATAGCAAAACGCCAATCTAGTCTGAATGGGAATCATCACAATCATCTCACCAAATATTAAGCGCTCAATGTTTTAACAAATTAAAGCCAAGTCTGATATGCGACAATTCACCTCCACCTACTTCACTCCCAGACAGTTTTACAACAAATGCCAAAACTAACAAAGTTTACACATGTAAGAGATTGTTTGGGATTTAATTTTACATGTATATATATGATATCAAAGGAAATTCTTAAGAATTCAAAAAACTATAATGTGATAATATCGACAATTTGATTATAATTGTTTTAAATATGCTTAAAAATCAAAATATCATCAAATGCAAATATCAACAACCTCTAGTCAAGATATTATGATAATATTGAACATTTGTTGAGTGAAATGTGAGGAAGTACAAGTTTAAACTAAGTTACCTATTGATATTGAATATTAATTTCGATTTGTTTACGTTATATGTGTCTGACATTTCACTTGCGCCCAGTTTATCAATTGTTTTGTTTGTAATGTGTAGTTTATAATTATTGATAACTAAATTGGGAGCTGGAAACATGTAACAAATGCCAACGCGTGGTTAAGATTGAGAATATGTATTGTTAATATTATTTATAATTTAACGATTAATAACTTGTTACAAATGATTTGTTTTGTTATTCTTAAGACAACAGTTTTTATAAATGAAAATAATGGAACCTTACAATAAAGTTTTGACTATAAATAACTTGTATTTAAGTTTTATTTTTACCTGAAAGTCCTTAATAAAAATATTTCAGGTCGAAATCCGACGAAATCCGTGAAGAAGCGCCTCCGCTCTCGAAAAATTAAAAATTAAATAGTAATTATCTCCTAAACTAAAAGGGCTAGGAAAAATGGGCATTATATTCTTGATCCCTGAAAAATTCTCTACAAGATGGTACCCTTTTTGAAAAACGTCCAAAAGTGCATAAAAAAATTTAACGAAAAGATTTTGTCATAAAAAAGGCAAAATATTTCTGTTTTTTATGTCGAATGCTGTTTCCATTAAAATTGTGAATAGAGCCTAAACGGTTAATGCTAGCAAAAAAAGTTACTGAAATAATCGATGTAGAATTAAATTGTCTATCAGAATCCGAAAACAGAATTTAAAAATTCCAACTTTTAATTTTTGACATAAAAAAGAGAAATCTTTTGCCTTTTTTATGACAAAATCTTTTCGTTAAATTTTTTTATGCGATTTTGGTCGTTTTTCAAAAAGGGTGCCATCTTATAGAGAAATTTGCAGAGATCAAGAATATGAAGTCCTTTTTTCCGTAGCCCTTTTAGTTCACGAGATAATCGCAATTTAATCTCGATGGTTTCGACGAAGATGTTCAAAATTAAAAGTTGGAATTTTTAAATTCTGTTTTCGGATTCTGATAGCAAATATAATTGTAGATAGATTATTTTTGTAACTTTTTTAGCTAACATTTACCCTTTAGGCCCTATTCACAAATTTAATTTAATTTAAATAACGACAACATAACTTAGTTATGGTGATTATTATCTAAACGGTTTATTTTAGAACAAAATTTTATTAAGATAATGTATGTAAAATCACATGTTCTTCCATAATCCGTAATAAAAAAATCAAATTTCCAATTTTTATTTTTTGCTAAGGAAATGATAGAGAAACCGAATAAACCAGTTTTTTGCACTTATCTTAAAAACCATTAGAGATAAAGAAAAACGGTTTTCATATATGTATGTAGAATTAAATTTTACATTATATAACATGTTAAAATTTTCACTTATCAACCCTTATGTAATAATTGAAAATGGTCAATAACTTGAAAACTAATTAAGATAGCGCAACCAAACCTGGATTAATGGAAGCCTAGCCTTGTTTTACATTAGTTTGGAAAGTTTGGGGAAAATCGGAGAGGTGGTTTTATTTGATCAGTTTTGAATTTGCCACTCATTTTCCGAAATATTGATTTTATCGAAAAACTGACTTCACATCTTTCATCCCCTTGGAAAACTCAGTCGATTAGCGTTTTCCATTTTCTTCTAGCTTAAAAAAAATTTTTTGAGGCCTCAAAGAGTCAAGTGTAACCTCTTAGGTATTTTCGAGTACTGTTTGATCAACTTTGGAAAATGGAAAAACTAAATCTGCCATTTTATAGATCCTTATCACTACATGAACAAAATGCAGAAAGTTTTTTTCTAACTTTTTTACTTTTGGAGAAAATCGTGTCGGAAAATGTTGTAGGCACTTGTTATATTTTAAATTTTTTAAATGTTATCCTATCTAGGATTTTATGCTGAGCAAAATAGTGTTATCGGTTTTTGTTAATCTCTTTTAGTTCCCGAGATAATTGATTCTTAAATCTCCAAGTTAGTACACATTTTACTAAATGACATCTGTAGGTAAAACTGTTAGTGCTACTAAATGAAAAGTTGTTACAATTGGATAATTAATAGGCCCTCTACACAATAGGGTAGTTAGTTTTTAATAATTAATTAAACTACACTTTAATATGTCAGGCGCCTCCGCCAATTTTTTCATAATTAATTACTTTTTTCAAAAAATTAAGATAAATGACTGTTTTATCAATAGTTATCAAAGAGGACAATTTTATGGAGTGATTATTTTAGTACATAATTTTATTTTGGGCAATGATTTAAAAGATACATGACAATAATTGTTTAAATGTATTCTACCTATATGTAATCTTTACAAGCCAATAGGGCCTAAACGAAGCATGCTAGAAAAAAATATTACTAAGACTAATTACTCAAATTTAATTGTTTGTTAAGAATCCGCAATCAGAATTTAAAAATTCCAACTTTTAATTTTCGACATAAAAAAGAGAAATCTTTTGCCTTTTTTATAACAAAATCTTTTCGTTAAAAATTTTTTGTGCCATTTTTATCATTTTTCAATAAGGATGCCATCTTGTACAGAATTTTTCAAGGATCAAGAATATGAAGTTCTTTTTTTTGTAGCCCTCTTAGTTGTCGAGATAATTACTATTTTAATCTTCTAAATTAGGCTATTGCGACGGCACGCACGTGTTTCACTAAAATTGCAAATAGGGCCTAAACGGTTAACGCTAGCAAAAAAAGTAACTTAAATAATCGATTTAGAATTAAATTATGTATCAGAAACCAAAAACAGAATTTAAAAATTGTAATTTTTAATTATCATCATTCTTAATTAGAAGATTAAATCGTAATTATCTCGACAACTAAATGAGCGAGAAGGAAAAGAACTTCATATTCTTGATCCTTGAAAAATTCTTTACAAGATAGCATCCTTATTGAAAAATGATGAAAATGGCACAAAAAATTTTTAACGAAAAGATTTTGTTATAAAAAAGGCAAAAGATTTCTCTTTTTTATGTTAAAAATTAAAAGTTAGAATTTTTAAATTCTGTTTGCGGATTCTGATAGACAATTTAATTCTACATCGATTATTTTAGTAACTTTTTTTGCTAACATTAACCGTTTAGGCTCTATTTACAATTTTAGTTGAAACTTCATTCGACATAAAAAACAGAAATCTTTTGCCTTTGTTATAACAAAATCTTTTCGTTAAATTTTTTATGCACTTTTTGTCGTTTTTCAAAAAGGGTGCCATCTCATTGAGAATTTTGTAGGGATCAAGAATATGAAGTCCGTTTTTCCGTAGCCCTTGTAGTTCTCGAGATAATCGCAATTTAATCTGGACGGTTTCGACGGAAAAATTTTAAGAAAAAAGTTCGACCCTGTTGTTCGACCGAAAATATTTTAACAGAAATAGTTCGACCCTGTTCTTCAGCCGAAAAATTTTTAATAGAAAAAGTTCGACCCTGTTCTTCGGCCGAAAAATTTTTAACAGAAAAAGTTCGACCCTGTTCTTCGACCGAAAATAATTTTTTTCAAATAAAATAGCGGTATTTCGACCCTAAAATATAATGTTGCAGTATTTTCAAAGGGCATTTTAGGGCACTTCCTGTAAGTTTAAAGAGTTAAATATACATCCATTTTGTAGAGGGTCATTTAAACTACTACATTACATAAAGAAACATAAATTTATCCCACTAATACTGAAGATACAGGGTGTTTTTCTCAAAAAATCAGGACATTTTTAGAAAATTGCCATTTTTATTAGTATTTTAGGGCACTTCTCAAGGGTTTCGGCTGTTTGAAAGGTATGCATGTTGAAGAGGGTATCTTGAGCTATAACTTGACGTAGAGATTCCTTAAATTATCCCACTAGCCCCGAAGATACAGACTGTTTTCCTTAAGAAATAAGGAAATTTTTTAGAAACACTCACTTTGATGGGCATTTAAGGGCACTTCCTGAGGGTTTAGGTAATTCTAATAATATGAATCTTATAGAGGGTCTCTTAAGCAACAAAATGACGTATAGAAACCTTAAATTACTCCATTGGTACGGGAGATATAGGGTATTTTCTAGGAAAATTTGATTTTATAGAAAAACATATGAAAATTGTGAGGATTTTCCTGAAGGAACATCTAAGGAGACTAATAAATTAAATAAAAACCAATTTTCGAGAATATACATGTCTATATTTCATCAATATATCCCTAAAATTGTACAAATTCTTTCACAACTTGGTAATGCTTATGCAGAAATCATGGCCGAGCAACAGTTTTACAAAACTAAAATTACATCCTAATCAGTTCTTGCACGCTTGTTTACCTGAAATAAATAATGGATTAAGAAACAAACAAAATCTCGCATTTTTTTTTGAGGAAATCAAAAGTGAATATTGAAAGGTATCGACGAAAATAAACTGAGAACGACTAGAATTTTGCTGCTTGATGTTCATTATTTTTTTTTTTGTTTCAAATAATTTTATATAATTATCATTATAAGAGATATACATGGTACTGTATATATATATATAATATATTTGTAATCATATAATTTTTTATTTATTTTATATATTTATATATCTTACGAGATAGATATATCGAATTCTCATATAGATTCATCATCATTTTTTTGTGTTTTTCTTCCTTCATGCATTTTGCTTCGCTTTGCTTGTAATAATTAATTAAACAAACGAAAATAGTAATAATAGTAAATTAATAAAAAAAAATGAGTGTGTCAGTGTCAGGCCAAGGTCGTCAACATTCGCTTGGTTTACATTTTTATCTCTCTCGCTCGCTTTCTCAACCCTTTCTCTCGCTTGCTAACATAACGCACGCTAGAATATATTTTACAAAATATCTGCAAAAACACGATTGGCAAAGAAACCTTATATGTATACAATAATTAGAAACAATATGTACAATCACAACCACATCGCTATTACACAACAAATCGTTTCGTGTGTTGTATTTTCCAAGTGTTTTTTTTCTCTCTCTTAGTTTTCACTTCATTGCGCTAATATACGTTACGACTGCAGTAAGAATTAATTAAATTAATAGTAAAATGTACACGATCGGAATCACTAACTTAATAAGTAATATACAATAAATAACAACAGATAACATTTTTTTTTCTGCAGAGCTGTGTGTCTGTGTGGTGGTTGGGTTTTGATTGTTTCGTGTTGAAATGAATCGATGATTGTCCGAGTTGTTACTTTTGGCACACATTTCAAAAGAAAAAGAACAATTAGCAGATTGAAAACCAAACTACACACACATAAGAAGAAGTTGGTGAGAGTGTGTGGTGGTGAGTGAGTGTTGCTACAATAGAGACGCAATCAAAAAAAAAAAAACTAATGTGAAACAATTTAATATTATTGGTAACTGCAACGAAATGGCATGCACGTGCTACGTAACAAGAGACAAACAAACATTTGAGTCAAAATAATAAATACTGAGTTATACAATTAATTAATTAATTAATATGTCTATATGTGTATGTGTCGGGTGTGTGTGTGTAGCTTAAAAATTAATTGACTGATTGGCTGCCGAATTGCGTCCCTCTCGTACGTTCATGATCATGTTCGTGTGTGTGTGTGTGTGTGTTGCATTTTGACTTTGGCAAACTTTTCAATTCAAAGCTTCGTCTCGTATGGCACTCAAAATGCGTCATCGTCCGCGCTCTCACCATACGTTTAATCATTTAAATCTATATAAACAGTCTATTTTAATTGCACTCGGATTGTTTTTTTTTTTTGACATTATGTCCCTTTCCAGTGTGTCTGTGTGTGTGTGTGTAAGTCGAAATAAAAACGATAATGTTTGTACTAAGTGTGTGTAAGTTCGAAAATTGGAAAACTTAATAAAAAAACAAACAAAAAAGCATTCAGCACGTATAGAAAAATTATCGACGATTGTTCCCAGTAGTTATTTGTTTCTGCTTGTCGTGTAAATGTATGTGTGTTAGTTTTGAGCATCCATTTTGTTTTTGGCATTCGGCGTGTGTGATCGAAATGTTCCGCGTCGCAATAAAAACTCCAATAATAAATAACGTTAAATAATAACAATTCTAAATGTTTTTTTTTCTGCAAACACACACACGCGTGTGTTTGCGCGCTTAATTAATTAAATTCTTTTTTTTTTGTATTTTGAGTGTTGCCTTTCGCGGCGCTTGCATTTTTTTTTGTTTTCTTTAAACTATTCAAATTCAATATCGCAAATAATAAAATATCGGCGGCGCACACGGTGTCATTTGTCAAACGTGAAAAAAAACAAACATGACTTCCGTTTCGTTTTCTCAATATAGCCGCACGTCGACCGGCCGCCATTTTCTCGTCGAGATTATAAGTGTCTAATTTGTATAGCAGTATAGTGATGTGATGGCAATATAATTACACGTTACATTATGTTGCCGCCTCTCCGCGTTCCGTAACCAAGTCCCTGTCGTCGTTTTCATACTTCTTCAATCCGCACATGCCTCCCGAGTTTGCTTCTAGTTTCGTATTCGCCCCGCCGCCGCCGTCTTTCGCGTTGTCCTAATGAATATAAAGCAATGCAGTAGTAATATGGGTAGTCGAAGTAATAGTCGAAGTGGGGTAGAAAAGGGCCTGGGGGCCGTTTCCCAGGGTCAGTAGCGGCTGTCCGCCATCATCTGATCGTACTCGTTGACTAAGCGCTTTATGTGCGACAGCTTGTCGTGGAGGTACTGGAACCGTTTCTTCGCCATTTGGTGTTCACAGTCTTTCTTGCTTAGTTCGTATTCTCTCACTATTTGCTTTTCTATATCCTACAAGACGCACACAATGCAATAAATATTAAATATTCCCAATTCAAAAATTAAATAAATTACTTTGTATCGGGGACTCGAGTTATCCTCACTCTTAAGTCTCTCCTGCAAATAGACAAAGCGCTGCGAGACCCGTTCGACGACCACGTGCAGCTCCCTGTACTCCCTGTAGTTGGCATTAAAGTCGGACTTGTACCGTTTTCGTTGCTGCTCGTCCTTTATGCTAGTGTATTCGCTGCGCAGACGGGAAAAAAAAGAAAGCGCGCAAGGTTAACAACAATTCAACATGAGATCCGCATGCGTGACACTTACTTTAAGTAGTGCGGAGGCCCCGTCGCCTTGTCGTCCTTCTTCCAGGACTTGCCCGAACCGCCAGTGTCGCCGCTCATTGACATCGGCAGCCGATCCGACTGGCTGTCCGGACTGACCCGCACCACCTGACTAAAACCACCACTGCCCTGCGTACTAGATGACACCTTCGGACGTGTCGACCCACCACCGCTTGCTACCCCGCCGCCGCCGCCTCCGCCTCCACCACCACCAGTACCATTAAACACATCGCGCGGCGACGTGCTCAACGAATTTGAATGACTATCACATGGGGCAAGCGCACGCTTGCGTTGGTTTGGAAAGACGGCGGGGGCGGCGGCGGAGAACGGATTCGGATGGTGGTGGTGGTGGTCGTCATCGTCGCTAAGATTAAAACTAGGCTTGGCGACGGCGGGCGTGGCGACTGTTGGCGGCGACGTGTGATGGTGGTAGCCGTTGGTGGCCGGCGGCGGCGTTGGGGATTCCCTGCTGCGCGGATTCATGTTGCTGGCGTCGCGCGAGTCTGTCATGGGACGTCTTTGACTATTGGTTTCTACGGGCGAACGGTACGCTTGTTCGGATGGCTTGCGGAAATGAGAGATGCGCTGGCGCTTGGTGACGCCACCGCCGTCGGCGGCGTCAAAGTAGCCGGGCCGTTTCGATGACGACGTGACCGGCGGCGGTGAGCCGGGGTGCGTCGACGTCGGCGAGTGCCCGCTGCCGGAGCTGCCGCCGTCGCTGCTACCGGGCGGGGTTAAATTTTCAGGTTTCCGCCTGCAAATCAACAATCAACTCACAAATCCCAACACATCAATCGCTTAAACAACGCGCATACCGTTTGAGAATTTGTCGCTCAGATTCATTGTAAAACGGCCAGTCCTCGTGTACGTCATTATACATGGCTCGGTTGAGGTGATAGCAATTGTCCTTGAGGTGTGCAATTTGATTCAGCACCACCATCATCACTTTCTTTTCTCGCAATCCCTCTAAAACACACACATCAAATGCTGAATCATTCAACAATTTTTGCTAATTTTACATACCTCTGGTTAATCTATCGTAAAGTTCTGGCTTTTTGTACGGTCGCAGCGCCAACAAGTGAATCATCCTCTCCCTTAAAACAACAACATATAAAATACAAGGATTTTGATTTAGTTAGGGTGGTACACACTTGATGGGGCGGCGAGCAATGTCCGAAATGGAGGGCTTAGTGTTTTGCGGCTTCGAGCTGCTGACGTGATTGCTGCCCAAGCCATTGGACAACCCGTTGCCGTTGTGCACAACAGGGGGCGGCTTGTTGATGGATGGCAGCGTCGGAGGGTAAGAAGACGGTTTCGCGCCGCCGATCGGCTCGCGCGCCGACGGCGGCGTCTCGCGACGCATTGGAGGGATTCCGCGGCCGGGCATCTGTTTCACTTTCACCTTGCGTCCGATATCAGTACGATTCATTTCAATTTCCCTAGTACTAAAGCAAAATACCAAATATAAACACCACAACAATCAAAACCAACTCTTAAAGACCTGGTACCTTTTATTCTTTGCATTTTCCTCGAGCACAGACATACGCTGTCTAGTCTGGTCGTATACGTCATCATTGGCGGCAACGCGTATCTTGTGCGGAATGGGTCCCAGCCCGGCGAGGGAACCGCGCGGCGTTTGCTGCAGGCATTCGAAACTGCCGCCGGGGCCCTCCATGTCCGTGGTGCGCGACACCGAGAAATTGAACTTGGTGCTGCCATTTTGCGTTGGGAACGAAAAGTGCTGCAAAACAAACGCATTAATTAGCGAAACAAGAAGACAAGTCAAATTGCAAATTGCGCCAGACGGTTAATGCGAGCGCCGGCAGGCGTTTTTCAAAAAAAGACAGAGAGAGAGAGGAAAAAAAGTAGGACTAGGTCATTAATTCGCCGGCGCTACCGTTTCGCAATCGCATCGATTTACCAATCGCACACACAAAAAATGCATTTAAAAATATAACAAAATAATAAAATCGCAAAAACCTTGTCCTTGTGGATTTTCGATTATTATTAGTGCGCAAAGTAGGACGCCATTTTGGTTTGCAACAATGCGTAATTCTCAATTCAAGAGAAGAGCACAAAGACAAATCCTTGACATTTTCGCACAAGACATCACGTTTATTCACTCTAAAATTTCTTTCTAATAATTTCTTTCTTCTTCAAAATTTCTAATAAAATTTAAAAATCTACTATAAAATAAAATATTCTGACTTCCGGTTGATTATATTGGCGCAAATCTGGTCACAGCATGCATGCACCAATAAATAAATAGCAATCACACTCAACTAGATCCGCATTCGCTTGCGCATTTGCTAGCGCGCGTACACAGCCTCGCGGAAATCGCTTTTAATGAGCGTAAATGAATATATTAACACTCCAACCGTCTCGCAGCACAACAAACCCTCAACAAGTTTACAACCTAATATCTAAATCAAACCTAAAAAAAAAACATCATCTAATAACCTATTGTGGTAAATTACACAACTTTCTAAACAATAATCTAATTAATGACTAATTGCGAGCGAATCAATGCCAGAAAAACCGTTAGCGCGCTTGTGCTTGGTTCCGCTCGAAATTCGTCTATAAATAACATTCGGCTCTCAAACTATGTACTTTACGCCGTTTATTCTCTATTGTCATCATTTATCACTAAATATGAACATTAGTGAGATATCAAGTGGCGTCTCAAGTGGTTATTTGTGGGCGAAAATTAAATTTTGCACGTTTTGCGCACGCGCGACTTACGATTTACGAGACAGTAATTTATTCTTCGTCATTTTTGTATGTTAAAATTGGGTGTGTAAATAAGACGGTATTAACGGGACATTCAACGATTCTAAATTTATTATTTATGACTTTAAAAATAAGATAAAAATGTTTTAAATAAAAATTCTTTTTAAAACTTACCCCTTCATTCCCTAGGAACTGTATCGTTGGTCGCGTATGACAATTGCTCTGAAACAAACGAAAAACATTAAAATTTTGCACCAAAAAACGTTTTTTTTTCTTAAATTTTTTAAATTTTGCTCTTCATTATTAACCAGCACCGAACGACATTCCGTCCACTCCCCGCGGGCGGACTTCTAGTGAAGAGAGTGTAATCAAAAACGCAGATCTTACAAATTGCACACACCGGCGCACATTCGCGCGCGCACTCGATAATGTCAAAGCAATTACACTGCGCGCAGAAAATGCCGCACGGCGCCGAGTCGCATAATTAAAATTAAATAACCAACCCAGCGAGCATACAGACAGAATATGCACTAAACAACCTCAAAAAAAAAAAATTTAAACATTTTTCAAACGCCGAAAATAATACAATACAAAATACAATAGAGAATAGAAGAGAATATGCTAGAATCGACGCCGGCAATAAACGCACGGATGGCTAGATTATTATAAAGCAATTAACTTATATAATGTAAATTCAAAACGCGCGTTTGTGTTCGCCTGCGCGCAAGGAGAACGCCAGCACACGTAGACACTCTGCGCGGCGTAAAAACCAGATTTAATTACACAATCTTGTGTGCGTTTTGTTCGCCAACGTCCTTTGCGTCTTCCATACTCACACACACACTTAAGTAAAACTAACCAATTTCGAGTAATTGTTCACGTTTCCGGTCGAATTGTAATCATTTTTACTACAAATCGTAAAAAATCCAACACATTTTCATACGATGCAAGCGCAAAACTTACAAACATTTTTGCAGTTTTTTTTTTAAGTAAGAATTTAAAACACCGTCCCGGGGAGAGAAAGTTTTATTATGAATTCCGCTTCGGCACATCGGCCGCACACGTTCACTCAACGCACACACACAGCGAAAACATTCAAATGAATAAATTTTTCAGTGACGTACAACACACGTTATTCAATTTTGCCTTAGCCGCACCGCCGCAGCAGCAACATAACATTTAAATTTTACACATTTAACAATTCCGAGCAGCGTGCGCGTGCGCACATGCAGTAGGTCACGGAAGTCAGAAAACAAAATAACACAAACGAGTCGGAGCGCGTTACGCTCGATTTATTTCGAAACCAATTTTACCACCTTCAAAAATCGATGGGATTTTTATATCCGAACGCCGAATATTAGGTGTAAGCGTGCAAATCGGAAATTAAACATGCAAGAGATCGAGGAGAGAAAAGAAGCGAAGAGAGGAAAAAAGTGCTTTCCAACACGGCACAGCAAGCGACTTGTAACCAACATTTAGTTATTGTTATTATTATTAAACTTGTTGCTGTAGTAACGCGCCGAGCGGCATTTTTTGGAGAGTGCCGACTTGCGAGTACTTTCACAATGACTATCCATCCATCCTGTAACCAACTTACCAGCTAATCAAGTTTAATAACTATTAAAATAACAAATAATTTAAATTTATCACAGGGTATAAGAAACAATCATGTTTTCTAAGCTGGAAAATAAAATATTTAAAACCTCGAGCAAAAAATTAATTATTTATATTTTAATTGCGATTATATCTTATATCATTAACAATAAATTAAAATATTTTGGAAAAATTGTCTTAAATTTTTCAAAATTTCCCAAAAATACGCAAAAATCACGTTTAAGTAATGCGTATGCTCCGCCCTTTTTATAACTGCGCATGCGCAAGATACTTAATTAATCTATTTAATCTATAATTGTGTTTTTTTTAATTTTTTTTTAAATTTTATTATTATTATCACAATGATTGACAAATGATAATCACGTGATGACGACTTGTAGGGAAAGTGGTAAGTAAGTGTTGACCAGTGACCAAGTTAGCGCGGCGCATACAATCCAAGGACAAACAATGTGGCTCCTTTCTTTTCGTTACACAAAATCACGCGTTATGTCACAAACCAATAAATCTACAATCACCCAGCCTGCATGTCAATCATAAAAATACCTAAATTTACCCTTATTGCAACAATGTAAAGAAAAATACACGCAAATTGCTGATTTTTACATTGTAGATATTATTACAAAGTGCTAATTAATATTTAAGTATGCCGTGGCACGGGTGAAGTAACAACCTGCTCGACTAGTCTTATCGCCATCGGAATGTTAACGCAAAAACTAAAACTAGATTAATCAATATTTAATTGAATGTTGTTTATTTGTCTACAAAGCAACAGAGAGAAAAAAAACACCGCCTACGCGAAGATATATAATAATTTTATTAGTGCATAAGTAATAAAATTATTATCTCAACAAATTGTATTCGACAATAATACATTAGTTTTAAATAAAATCATCGAAAAATCCCTTCTGTATGTATTTCCGTAATCTTATCTCATAAAATTCACCGATAACAAAGTAAATTACATGTAAATTCCCCGCTGACCCGGCATTCAGCCGTGTTTTTCCCGCACCCAGAACCCAAACAAGTGAAAAAGCCCATGATGTTTACAAACATCACACACGCTAATACATCCGAATATCGCGGTCGACTTTATCAGCTTAATTACCGAGCGCGCGCCGGCTGCTGAAAAGACAGATTGTATATTCGCCATTGAAAACGTGCGTGTTGACGCAAGGAAAAAAACATACACACACATAACCCAACGACGACGACGACGAGGTGAATCTCGAATGCTTCCAACGACGTCAGACGTCACACACAACGTCACTACTTCCACCTCCCACGAAATTACACTAAACGTAACTAAACACAAACAGATTACGTTACATTACGCTGCATTACATCGGGTATTTTAACAAAAACAAATACGCGATGGTGACAGTGACGTAATAACATAACTATCAACAAATAAAATAAATGTGCAATTGTAGCAACATTTCGCGTCATCATTATTACGCAAATTGTTCAATAACTCACTCAGATATTATTGTTGTAAATAAAAAATAAAAATAACCAATAAATACCAAAGAAAAACTCAAAATTTCAACTCATTCAACCGATGATTAAATATTTTTCTTTCTTTTTATTCTTCAACGAAATTATTTTTATTTTTTTATTTGGTTAATTCTCAATTTGTCGCGACAGACCGGCCGCGGTCGGGCAGCCGCATTACGTCGATATCGGGTGTTTGTGACTTTCTAAACTTCTTACAAAATATTTTTGTGGTTACGCGCGCGCACAATTTGAATACTCATTTATTTTATAAATGTTACACATTACATTGAGCAAACATTGTATTGCTGATACAAGCCATCCAAGGTGTAAATAACACACACACACACACACATACACACACAGAGAAGTTGATAAACTTTGCAATTATTAAAAGCGTCACGGCCGTAAAACAACACAACGCTCACACCAACAATTAATTAATAATTAAACCACGATAAGACATACCTGCGCCTGATTGACACAAAGCGAAATATACAACATAAAAAAATATTATAATGCACAAGGTCACGCGCAAGCGGAATTTATCTCCCATTTCCGACCTAACTTTACTTCCGATAAATTAATATCTGACACCGATTCCGATACATTCGTGCCATCTACCAGCATAAAATAAATAACAACAACAAATTATTCAACAATTGACACTGTTTTAGCCATGTGTGTGTGTGTGTGTGGCTGTTGCAATCGACATCGTGTGTGTGCTAAAAAATTAATTACTTCATCAATTCCACTCGATATGCAACACAATTTTTCGGTTTTTTTAAATATTTACACGATTCTTCTTGCAACAAAAACTCGTTGTGTGTGTGTTTCGCCGTGAACCGACATTTTGCACGCTTTTTGGACAACACAACACAACAAAATTCAGCCATGGCTTCGAAAAGGACCTTGGTCACTCACGAGCCACACACACACAAACACACCCAACGGTTTATTTATAAATAAATGTTTTTTGTCTTGACAACTCTTTAATTCTTGATGCAAAAGTATAAAACACCTACAAATAAGTAAAGTGTATTATCTCAAGGACACGTCAAGGTTATTTATTAATATCAACACGAAAATCTCGGTCTAATTTGATAAGAACTCGTTTTTCGGTTGCTGTTGCTTTTCCACGCTGAGGAGACAGACCTCAACAGGTAAAAGAACCTACCTTATTATTCATAAAGGGGCAATACCCGAGCCACCACTGCAATTGTCGACTACACGACCCTAAAATGAAACATCTGCCGGTAGGTAACAGGCAGGTGTTGTACAAAATTCATTCATGCTTTTTTCCGAAACTGTTTATTTGTTCGGAAATTTTCTCTGGAGATATTAACCTCGAATGTTTGTACACGGTGTAAAAATAAAACAAATGCGGCCGCCATTAAAAAATAATGCACGAAAAAGGCAAAACACACTCGAAAACTGAATATAATTCAGGTGGTCGGGTGTCATCGGCTGCGCTGTGTTGTGAAAAGCGACCATTTAAGGCTCGCGCAGCGTTGTTGTGTATTGCGCACTGTCTCTGTGGCTTTGCAACTATTTTTTTCGGATTTTATGATTGTGTATCTCTTACCGCCCCTGTGGGTGTGCGGATGAATGATTTAGTTGTTTGCAAATCGCCGAAAAACGCGACAATATGTTGACGTGGCTCGCGCGGCTCGCACGCCATTTGCGAGCGATTCGCTCGGTGCAAACGCGCACAACTTGCACCACGGGTAGATATGGAGGTGAGCGAGGTAATCCGCAGGCTTGCGCCGTGCGGAATCGGGTAGAAAATGCGATATTAGGTTAATAAGTCATCGGAAACATGGCGACTTATCTAACTCTGCCATTGCACGGTCAAGTCGTCACACGCACACACTCGCACGCATGCGCATGCACACACACAGAGTCACGGAGATGATGGGTGAAAATAATTCCGAAATTGTGTAGAGATAAAAACTCACCTGATTACGTAGAAACTCTTCGATGGTACGCAGGGCCGAGTCTGTTAGTTTGACGAAGATTAAATCCTTATTCTCGCCGAAACTCTCCTGCGATGACAGGCCATACTGAACACCTGGACAGAGCGCCGCCATTTCTGCCTACTCTGTCGCACTTCGCCACCAGGCCACCAGCTGACGTACGGAAGCGACGTCGCCAGATCGGGCACACGAAGCGGGCCGAGTGCGAGCGAGACGAACGCGCGCTCGCGATCGAACACGAGCGCGAACGATAGACGCGGCGCGCACGCGCCAGACGAAGATGCACACGCACCTCTGACGTGATAGCGCAGTAAATCTGCACCGCACTTGTTTCCCCAGCGTAAATTGTCAAATAATCGCCCGATATGATATTATTCAACCCCGAAATTGTACAGATTCGATTCGTATTCGGCGTGCACTTTGCTTTTGATTACACACTGCACTCACGCACGCAACACTATTGTCTGCTTTTGGTATTATTGCACTTTATTGCGCACGGGATTGCGCACTGTTTTAGTTTTTCGCCTGGATGATGATGATTTGACAGCGAGCGCGCCCGTCCGATCGCGTTTATCGCACGGCTCGAATAGAAAGTTTAATTGATTCGAATCTGAAGGCAGCACACAGCAGCAGCGCGCACGAGCAGCCGACCAGCCACTCACTCGCGGTCGCTCGACTCACATTTCGCCACACACGGACAGCGACAGGCGGGTGGTGTGCGCGCTGTGTGCGCTCGGCGAGATGCTCAACTCGACTGCGACCGCAGCGAAATATTATTACATCGTACCACTAGCGCCCTCTAGTGGCAGAACAAATCAAAAACCTGTATTATCTTCAAATTTTCAGCAAATTATGACTTTCCGGCCCTCCAAAAGACAAATATTAATGAATTTACAGAGATAATTAATGTATTATCACATATTTTACCTTAAAACTCCCAAAAAACATTAAGTTTTTACCTGAATGTCACTTTGACAGTTCCATAACCCTACAAAATCATCCCATACTTTTGTCAAGTGAAAAAACAACAAATTCATTAAAATGACGATTCATAACATTTATATTTTTGATCACAAAGGTTCACTACTCTATTACCACGAGTGGAATCGTGTAAAACAAGCTGGAATGACACGTGAAGAGGTAAAATCTGTAACTACAACAAAATTACAATCAAATTCTTATGTTTAATTTGTAGGAAGCGAAGTTAACATTTGGAATGTTGTATTCCATCAAATCTTTCGTCAATAAAATATCCCCAACGGTCACAAAAGAAGGTTTCCTCTATTACAAGACATCAAAATACACTCTGCACTATTTGGAAACACCTTCAGGTCTAAAATTCATCCTGAACACTGATAATCAATCACAAGGCATCAGGGATTTACTACAGAATATTTACAGTCAGATTTATGTTGAGTATGTGGTGAAGAATCCACTGAACAAACTACATGAACCTATTCAATCTGAATTATTCAAATCCAAGCTGGATTTGTTCATTAAACAACAGGCTTGCTTTTAATTACTTGTATTATTATTGTTTAAGGGTAATATTAAGAAAATAAAGTTAGAAATTACATCAGATATGTGTAGATGAACTGAAAACACATAAAATAAGTCTTTTTATTGAAAATTTCATGAAAATTCAGAATATTTATTCTTTGCTATAAGTGTAGTTCCTAATGTCGTTCATAGATGGCGCTGCGATGCAGTTTTTATAATAAATCCGGTCGTAAATGCGATAAAACCAAACAGAATTTATTTATTAATACAAAATCTAAACCCTAGAAACAGTACACACGTTGTATATCATAAGATATACTTAAAACCTATCACACAACAGCTTACGGTGTGAATTTATCTTGATTATAGATAGTAGGCGGAATGTTTTCATTTCCTGCGCGCTTGTCGGCTGCATTCCACCTTGGAATGCGCTAGTAAACATCCCGCCAATCCTACCACATCTGCTCACACTCACACAGCCAAATCCTCTCCGCGTTCTACACACGTTTCACACTCACTCAACCCCGATGGATGTGTGCTGTGCTGTGAAAACGAAACGACGAGCTGCTGCGTCACGCGCGGACCTTATTTTCGTGACATTCCACTGCGCATGTAGTAGTAAGTCATCGCATATTCACGCAGTTGGAAGGCATAAAGCGTTGGGGACGTTGTATTTTGTTGCGTTGCACGCGAAAACCAATCAACAGACGAAAAAATACCCGTTTGCACCTAACCACGGGTACAAAATGGCGTTGTGAGTAACAACACACAATCTACAGCGTGAAATAAAGGTGAGTGTTGTGAGAATGTAGGACAATGCATCCAAGTACGAAATTAGACAACTTATGCATATTTTTTTATTGAAGATTTGTGTTGGTTGTAGGGTTTTACATGCCGAAAATGAGTTTAATGCGATCTCCGAAACAATATCGTGCCTTTATGAACAATCCAAACCAAAAACCACCAGCGGTCTTCCCGCAGAGCCTCAGTGGAAGCGAAACCGATATTTCCACATCGAACGAGAACCTTTCCAACGAAGAAAAGTACGTTATACGACACACAGAGCGGCAGGAACCTCAGGGAGAAGAAAATTTACAATCTTCATCAAATCGTAATTCACTCCGTGATAGTCTACCATCAAATCGATCATCATTAGATGTCTCCTCATCAAGTTACAACACTTTGATCATACATAGTATAGGCGATGAGTCATGGACAGGTAGAAATTCCGGTCCGAAGGATGAAAGTCAATATTCTAATCTCGCTGCGCTCAAAGAATGCCCATCACCGAGTGCACAATCATCAAAAGATTCCTATTTTGATGCGGGGCAATCACCATCACACACACAGGGTGAAGCAGGTGTGCAATTGACTGAAATACCTGCGGATTATTTGAATCAGTCGACGGTGTTGAAGCATTTGGCGAAAGAAGTGAAGCCGGAGATGCGAGCGCCACCCGAGTATTCGACTTATATGAAATCAAGGTTGCCTACGGTTGTGATGCGTAAGAAGAACGTGCGGAGTGTGCCGTTGTCGAAGTCGCAGCCGGATTTGAGGAAGCTGGATAAGATTGATCGCATGCAGAGGGATAATTCGGTTCCACGGCCGAAGACTAATGGCAGGGAGGAGAGTATTGAGAAGGAGAATATGTGGACGCTGGAGTTTTTGATCAAGGAGAATCACGAGCTGAAAATGGAGTTGGAGAAATGTTATATGCGAGTGTCAAAATCACAAAAGGTGCGTTTTTTTAATATAAAAACTTAAGGAAGCAAGGTTGAAGGATAATTCTTTTTGAATAAGGTGTAGAATTTTATTCTTTATTTACTAGTGAAAGAATGGTGGTTGTAAGTTGTTTTGTTTTTGTGTTATTTATGAAAATGTGTTTTAAAAGTGCGTTTTTTAACATTAAAATCTATAATATTCAATTTTAAACAATAGTTTTTGCTCAGTTAAGTGTAGAATTAAATTCTTTATTAATTTTTGAAGGAATTTCAATTCTAACTTGTTTAGTTTTTGAGTTATTTATGAAAAACTGTTTTTAAAATGCGTTTTTTAAGCATAAAATCTATAATATTCAGTTTTAAACAATAGTTTTTGCTCTATTAAGTGTAGAATTAAATTCTTTATTAATTTTTGAAGGAATTATAATTCTAACTTGTTTAGTTTTTGAGTTATTTATGAAAAACTGTTTTAAAATGCGTTTTTAAGCATAAAATCTATAATATTCAAGTTTAAACAATAGTTTTTACTCTATTAAGTGTAGAATTAAATTCTTTATTAATTTTTGAAGGAATTATAATTCTAACTTGTTTAGTTTTTGAGTTATTTATGAAAACTGTTTTTAAAATGCGAAAAATGCGTTTTTTAAGCATAAAATTCATAATATTCAAGTTTTAACAATAGTTTTTCTCTATTAAGTGCAGAATTAAATTCTTTATTAATTTTTGAAGGAATTATAACTCTAACTTGTTTAGTTTTTGAATAATCTCCAAAAAACATTAAAAATTAAGTTTTTTTATCAAATTTTGTTAAATTTTTCTACTTTTTCATTGATAGTTGGAAGAAGAAGTACTAAAAATACATCGATCACATGAAGAATTAGTACAGTCATGTGATAGACGTGAAAGATTAGAAAGAGCAGCACGCGCCCGACTCCAAAGCGACTGTCAACGCCTCCAAGAGCTAAATCGCACCTTAAAGGATCAAATTGGACTGTTATCTAACGACGGATTGCGTCGAGAAGTCAACAAACGAGAATTATTAATCACCCAGCTTATAACACAAAGTAACTAAATCAAAAAACATAAAATATTCATAAATTTCTATGTAAAACTAACAAAATTTATGTTTTTTTGTATCAGACAAAGAATTTCAAGCAGCCAAAGACCGACAAGAGATCGAACTCACCGCACAACGAGCCACACTTCAAGAACAACGCACACACATTGATATTCTTGAAGCTGCATTAACAAACGCCCAAGGAAATGTCGTCAGACTCGAAGAAGAAGTAATTTTGTTTAAATTTCACACTTTTATCAAGTTTTAATTAATAATTTATTGTTTTGCGGTAGAATCGAAAGAAACAAGTGTATGTCGAACGAGTTGTGCAACTTCAACGTGCTCTGTCATCGCTCCAGCTTGCGAGCGATCGACGTGAGCAAACCGAACGCCAGTTGCGTCAACAACTCGAAAACGAACTGGAACGCACCAAAAACGGCCAGGTGGATGTCTCGAAACTCGGCTGGGAGCATCACTCGCCATCATCAACGAACGCAGAAAACGCCGAGCTGAAAAAACGTCTTAGAGACCGCGAGGAAAAGATCATGCGCCTTGAGGGTGAATGTTCCAAGTGGGAGCAGAGATATTTAGAAGAAAGTGCGCTTAGACAGGCAGCCATCGACGCAGCAAGCATCCCAAAGTAATATTTTAAGTTTAAAATATAAAAATCATGTTTTTATTGTGTGTTATTTGTGTACAGAGATGCTAAGATAGCTGCGCTGGAGAAAACAAGTCAGGAAACCGAGAAAATCATCGCCGAAGCTCGAAATGAAAAGATTCGTCACATGGACGAAGCGCACGCTGCGCAGAAAAAAGTCGCTGATCTGGAATCACGTCTAAAAGATCTAGAATCGAAGCTGGCTGAACGTGACGCCATGATTCGTGTGCTGCAGAAACATACATATGATAAAGATGTTTCCAGCATGTTGAGTCGCTCCCCGCATCATACTCCCCATCAGAGTATTGGTTCCTCTGAGTTGGATCATGTTTTGGGCACGACAAGTCGTGATGACCTTGGTATGTACCTCTTTAACCTTATTTTGAGGTTATCTAATGTCAAATGTCATGTTTGTAGTGAGCAGCGTGTTGACAAGTTCGACGTCATTCGGCTCTGGAAATTCGTACGCTGGCAGTGATTCATCGTTTATGCAGTCTTATAAATACGAGAGCAAAAGTTTCGACTCCACAAAGCAGACGCTTGACAATCAGATCAAAGAGATTGACAATCAGCTGGATTCGCACATGCTGAGCAAGGTAGGAGAAACTGAAACGTTCTACTAATTGCAGGACGGTATGAAAAACACAAACAAAAAAACACAGAGGTTATGTTCGTAAGTTCCGAAGTTTTTGTTTTGATTTGGTTTTTATTTTATTTTTTAAGTAAAGTTATCATAAAACAATTGAGCTAAATTATGTTGTTTTATTTTTTGTGATTTTGTTGGTCATTGTTTTGTTTCTATGATAACTTTGTTGCTGTTTTTTTTCTCTCTGATATTTTCTGCATGCGTGAGTAGAGGTAGCGCGCATGCGCTGTGTGTGTATGCCGAGTTTGGCCTGATTGAAGTGGTGTGTGATTTGTACTAACCACGACCGAGAGTCAGAGTCAGATAGAGGGCAGAGCTCGACATGTGCCAACCGTGCGTCTTTTTCTCTTCTCGATTTCAGCGCGCGCTTTGCTGTTTTCCAGGATTCGCTAATCCAGTCGCTGCGGCGCGAAAGGGCAAACTACCCAAACCACTACTGGCGGGTGTGAGCGGCACAACGCCATCTATCGCCGGTTGTAATGGCGGCGCGCAGTTTGTGCAGGGCGAGATACTCTTGCTGGAGAAGCAAGGCCGCAGCTCACAGCAACAGCGCATGCCCGACGCGAATAATCACGCGAATACAGGCGGTGTGAATCCGAACAATCTACCGCCGAGCAGTCTGCCACGTCCGCCACGACCGAAGACGAACAGTAGCCACAGCAGCCAATCACATCGCCGCTTAGGCGAATACAATCGCCTACCGGAGGCGGAACTGACGCCTGCGAGAAAGAAAAGCGATGCGGGGCAGTCGCTCAGTTCACAGGCGAGTAGCCGTAACGCCAGCCCAGCGAGATCGTTAATCCCGCCTCCAAGGAAACTCGGAGAATATGGCCGACTGTCCGAAAGTGGCGCCTCTAGCGTCTCGCTGAGGAAACCAGCGGCGCGTGCGCGCAGCGGAGACAGAGACTCCGCGAGCACCTTCAGCGATAATTCAGCCAGCAGTTTACCGCATCCCAGCAAGGTGCGATTCTATAGTGCTCCGAGGAGGAGCTCCAGTCTTGCACGCGACTCGAAAAGCAGCACGGACTCGACGTCCAGCAACAAGTTTCGCATTCAGTTTTGAATCTGTCACTACGTTTTTAATCACTATTTATTATTATTCTACCTACTAACACCAAAAATACCTTCTTCTAGTCCCTGGGTGTTTGAAAAGTGCCAATGTGCCAAAGAAATCGATACTAATCCAACGCAACGACCAAAAACACAACCGATTATAGTGCCTTGATACGATTTAATAAAATTATACAACGAAATCACTATTATTACTTGGAAGAACCTTTAATTTGTGTTACTTTGTATTTGGTGACTGGCAGAATTTTGGTGTATATTGGGTTGCCTATAGTTATTCATCAAGTTTCAAAAACTGAATAAAAGAAAAAATTAATTTTTTGTGTTTTCTAAATACTTTAATGCGGTTTTATAAAATTATACAATGAAAATTTATATTAAACAGTTAGAAAAACGTTAAATAAGTGTTTCGTTATGTTTGGTACTTAGTAAAAGAATTTTGGTGTATATTGGGTTGCCTAAGGTTGCATGTAAAATTTAAAAAACAAAAAAATTAAAAATCATGCATTTTATTGTTTTACAAATAATTTAAAGCTATTTAATTAAATTTTTTAGCCATTTTTTATAATATTTTGAAATTGTATGCAATTAATATCATTATTTTTATATTGTATGAATTTAAATAAAAATTCCGTTAGATGTCGCTGTAGGTTGAAAATCCGGGCGCTATGGCAACGGCGCACTTGGCGATGCGTGCGCTGCGCTGCGCTGCGCTCCGCAGTCCAGTGCGAGAACACCAACGCGACGGGTAGGGTCGCTGTGCAAACCGCCTTGCGTCGTGTCGCTGCTGCCGCGCTAGAAAACCAAACGCAGGCACACGAGCCGCGCCTTCCCACGAAAAATCTCGTCTCACGGACACATTTTTCGGGTGCCTGTGCCACAAACACACGCAAGACTCAACCAAACCATCGCCAACAAGTGAAAACTATAAGTGCACCTCACCGCAACACAAAGATACGCGTCTAATTCGTGCGTGCGTGCAATAACAATCAAAATTTCACGTAAATTAAGCGAATTATTACATTTACATTACATTTTTCGGTTGTGCATGATTGAATCCATCGAAATTAATCATATTCCGAAGGCCACAAGTATTAAATAATTAAATTTTGCTGATTTAATTGAATTTAAATTAATTATTGAAGATTCAAGTGACATATTCAAGTGAAAATGTTTAAAAGAAAAGTTGCGACTTAAACACACATCTCCTTTGTGCGACGCGTGCGTGTGCGCAGTGTGTGTGTGTGTGAATGTGTGCGGCTACGACGCCTTCGATGGAGGCCTGAGAGCTATTTTCGTTCGCTGCGAGAAACATATTCGTTTTCCGAAAAATTGAATACATACTAGAGTGTCGTGGCGGTGAAGAAACAAGTGCGCGTCGTGATCGCGAAAAAATCGACACTCTCGTAACAAGTGAAACAAGTGAAGAGCACGTGACGCTGCGTTTATCTATAAATAGTGCTCGTGCAGAGGAATTGTGGATATACTGCGGGGGTGTGAGGGTTGGTGCAAAGTGGGTGATGTGTGTGCAAGTGTGTGAACCTAATCGGATTATCTTTTAATACACATTTGATTGTGTTCTCGACACGAGAGCCAAGGTGAGTTGATTTTTTATTTTATATTTTTTAGTTTTTTGAGGATAATTTTTAAAGTAGAGGGGTTGGAGTGATAATTGTTGCGGGGTTTGATAAAGGATTAAATTTTGGATTTAGGGTTGAAAGAATTTTTATGATAGTGCTGTTTATAATAAAGTTATGGGTGAAAAAAGTTGAAGGTTGTTGAGAAAATATAAATTTTGAGGGTTTTTTAGATTTTGGGGGATATCTTGGAAATAAAAAGGGATAGAATAAATTTTTTTGAAGAATTGGATAGAGAATTAAATCATGTGTTAGGGATAACAAGAATTTTGATTATAGTATCATTTATAACAAAATTATACGTAAACAAAGTTGAAATTAGTTAAGAAACGAAAATTTTACAATTATTTATATCTTGGTTCAGTTTTTTGCGAATATCTTCGAAAATAACTGCGCGGGAGTGATAATTTTCTTAGGATTGGACAAAGAATTAAATTATACATTAATGCCAGAAAGAATTTTAATGATAGCTTTATTCATAAAAAAGTTATAAACAATTAAAGATAAAACTTAGTTTAAAAAGCATAAAATTAGTTTTTTTGCTATAATTCTTAATTAAAAATTGTTATTAAAAAAGTGTTTGCGCAGTATTACACAGAATTTAATTCTGAATCGATCTTAAGTATTAATTATTATTTTATGACGTCGTGCTTCTGATTAATTAACTAATTAATATCATTTATGAAGTGTCGCTAGGTACTACTAAATATTTACTCAGTTTTTAATTAATTATTCAAAAACTACACATGCAGTTATTAAAATTCTTTCAAACACATAAAATAGATTATATTCCGCGTATTTTCCAAAAAGAATCACGTCGATATCATTGTTCATTCAAAAGTTATAAACAATTTAAACTAAATTTTGTAAAAATTGCATTATTTTTAATTTTTCCATTATATCTTTAAACAAAATAATATTAACAATAAAATTTTCAACGAAATATAAGTAGAATTAAATACAGAATCGATTTAAGAAATAATTATTTAGATTAACCACGTGGTGACTGAATTATTCGCTAATTAATAACACGCTGATAAACCAGAAACAGAAATTGAAACATACGCACACACTTGTGAATAGAAACATTGTAAAATTGTAACATTTGCGTGCTTGAAGGTCAATTGACACAATTACGCTCGTCTCTCGTGTGTCGCGAGCGTTTCCATCGCGATTAAAATGACTTATGAGATGATTTAAGCTAAATATTCACAAATAAAAGTACAAATCGTACGCGTATTACCATCAAATCATACTGAAAATGATAAATATAAACTATAAACAATATTTAGATAATTTAAGTCATATTGTGAAATGTAAATGTGGGTTAAAATGATGTCTTCGAAGAGGAGATAAGTTTGAGTAAGTTGCGCATGCGCAATGCGACATATATTAATTAACACACAAACTTACTTTGACTATTTTTTGTTCTATTTTTAGTTAATAATATTTTATAATTATATTTTTAAGCGTGTTACGCATGCGCAATGTGTATTTTTTGGTTTTCGTGTAGCGATAAAAGCGAATTTGTTGCCGTATTTGCGCTGATTTGTTGCAATGCAAGTTGGATGTAAAGTTTTGTTCGAGTTTCCCTGGGCTCTGGCTGGCGGCGTGGCGCGCGTGATATCATCGCGTTTTCGCACGGCGAAAATCAATAAACGCGTGTGTTGGTGTGTCTGGCGTGTTGTGTACACCAGCGTATTCATTCATGCCCCCCGTACACGCGCTCCATTTTCTCCACTCGACGAAAATTTACCAAACGACAATGACCCTCAGCAATTGCCATAAAAATAAAATCATCGCAGAAAAATATGAAATTTGTGTCGCAATATGTTAACGACATATAATTATCGCGTTGTGAAACACATTCGCTTTGTGGCGCAATTGTAAATTGCGAATCGCCTTGTGTATATTGTCAACACGCGGCGCGCAGACGTACCACGTAAGTATACTTTGAGAATATCATTCGCGCCGCCGGCGAGTCTCGCGAGAGTTGCGGTGCGCGCTCGAGGCTTGTGTGCGATTTGTTTTATTTTTAAATTAACGATAGATGCGGCATATACCGGTTTGTAACCGGGTAATATTCGCTTGTTTTAGCGTAAAGTGATGATTTGAATATGCTGCGCATGCGTAGTTTTTAAATTTGATGATTTTTTTTTTTAATTTAGGATTTGTTTGATGTTTAAATTAGATTTGGAGGCTAATATTATTCATATGCGCTTTTCTACTTGAGGCGTATGCGTGGATGTTGAGCGCTTTTCAGTTTTCAGCCACTTGTCATACTTGAGTTCGCGCTTTGCTTTGTTTTCGGAATTCTCTCGCCGAGCGAGGAGAGCTTGTTGCGTCTCTAGTGCTTCTGGAAACTCGAAAGATCTTTTTCAGTTATGGCGATTTACGTAATTGTCATTTTTGTGCTTGAAATGGCAAACGTTTTGCTTTTTAGGTTGGATTATGGATGAGTGCGCATGCGCAGTGTTTTTAAAATGATATTATTAGATAATGTATTTATTAATCTTTCGTTTAAGACTAATTTTGGTGAAATTTATTGAGTGGAAGCTTGTAAAAGTGTAAAAAATAAAATATTTTAATAAAAATGGTGTAATTTTAAAGTGCGCATGCGTGAACTATTGAAAATGATATTATTTGATAGTGTATTCATCCGTCTTTAATTTAAGACTAATTTTAGCAAAATCTAATGATTAGAAGCTGTGAAAATCTAAAAAAACGCATGAATTTCAATTAAAGTCTATTATAGTTAACTGCGCATGCGCAACATGCTCAAACCCTTCACCACACCGTAGTTTATTTAATTATCTTTCATTTAATACCGAATTTATTCGAATCTATGCACTGGGAATTTACTTTTGTGCTTAAAAAGAAATACTTTTATCTTTTAGCTTAGATTATGGATGAGTGCGCATGCGCAACGTTTCCAAAATGATATCATTGGATAGTGTATTAATCCCTCTTCAATTTAAGACTAATTTGAGCAAAATCCATTGATTGGAAGCTGAGAAAATCTAAAAAAACATAAATTTCAAAATAAGTCTGTTATAGTTTACTGCGCATGCGCAACATACTCAATCCCTTCACCTCCCCATAGTTTATTTAATTATCTTTCATTTAATACCGAATTTATTCGAATCTATGCACTGGAAACTTTCCTTTTTGATGAAAAAATAATCGCAAAAGTTTGTAAAGTTTGTAAATGTGGTCGCTGTGCGCTGCGCTGTTTGAAGTCATTTCCGGTTTGCGAACATGCAGACATATTTCCCGCCACCACCACCATTGCCACCGAGCCACCGAAGTGAACAGCGCGCGCCCGCTCGTCGTCGTCGTTATTCGCCGCTTCTCTCTCCGATTACGCAGTTGGCAGTTGGCGGCGCGCTGCAGCCGCCCCCGGGCCGTCGGCTGGCGAACAAAGGAAATCCCGTTGATGCGAGAGACGACCCTCAACGGCGTATAAATCTATAAGCCCGCGATCGTGATCTCTAAACTTTTCAAATAAATTTTTCCATCAGAAAAAAAAATCTGAAAATTATAAATAA